CTCTGAAGAGTCCACAGCTGTGCAGTGAGGCCCAACCATATGCATCCGAAAAAGCTCTGCAAAGAGTCTGATGGGGAAACTGCCAAGATGGACAGGCAGATGAGGTTGGCTACAGTCTGCCTGATGCTGTGATCACCCAGCCCACAGCCCATGAAATACCTGGCACCAACCAGGCATGCTATGGCCACAGAAATCCCTGACCTAATGTCTCTACTAACAAGCAGAATGGAAGAGAGGCTGGGCTGACTTGTCCCTTTCTCAGGGGTCCCACACTTCTGTCAGTCAACCCTGCTTTTTTTTCCCAAGTGTTCCCAAATCACTGGTTCAATAGTCCATTCTAGGATGTGTCCAGGAGCTGACAGCATGCTTATTTATACATAGCTTTAGAATTTTCTTTTGCAATCATTAATAAAAATTGAGCTATGTGACACTTTCTTGGTCTCTAACTAATTTTTCTGTGACTCTGTTGGCCATGCAAGTGGTAGTCTTGGAAACATCTCATATATATGTGTCTTTAAACACCGTTTTATACGCCCTCCGTTGGTTCTTTCCAACTCCGGGAACTGAAATTTTCTGAGCCCCAAGCCAGAACCTCATTGGTTTGGAGTAGCCTGAGCCCTCTGAGCACCTGTGAGCCTCTTAGCCATGCTGGACCATCACGTCCAGTCTTTCACCTTGTGGGGAAGATGGGAAACCCAAGCAGAAATAGGTGTTGTTTGCCCCTCCATCAGATCACGTGCCCCAAGCAAACTCGGTTATTTTTACTGAGTCAGTTGTTTTTACTCTCTCTCTCAGAACATGTTTTCAAAGCCTTTTTCTTATTCTTAAATTTTGTGAGAGGTAAGTTTCAGCTTAGTGTAACCTTATTCTTCTGGTTCTAAACTACATGTTTCATTTGTGTTTGGAGAGGGAGCCTGCAGGGAGGAAAGCTCAGAAGAATGAAAGTTCGAATCTGGCTTGTCTATGACCCTGGGCAGTTTATTCAATCTCCCTGAGACTCCGTTTCCTCAACTGGAAAATGAGCATAGCATCTTTTGTTTTATAGGGTGCTTGTGATGACTCAGTGCAATACTGAATGTGAAGCGCTCAGCACTGTGTCGGGTGTATAAAAGATGCTCCGCAAATGTTCACTCTCCATTTGAGCAAACGTATCTCCTTCCTCTGATTATACAGATTCTTCTCTGTTTGAGCTCAGAGAACTTCCCAGCACCCCTCTTTTCTCATGCACAATTTCTCACTTCTCTTTCTTGTGAGCATCATTGAGGACCATCTTGCATCTCTCTCCCTTTCAATCTGTTTCTAGCTGTGTTCTGTCTTAAGAATTTCTGCCACAGAGAGACTGTCTTTGCTTTGAACTTTCTTGAATCTCCTTGTTATAAACTCAGTTCTGGAGGAAAATCAGAACCTGGTTGAACCATCCAAGGGCCAAAGGACCAGTTTCCATGATAGTCCCCTTCATGGGAGAACCACCAACATTGACAACAATACGTCTGGCTGGAATAATTCTCTCAGTGTGAGGCAGGCAAATCCCTCGGCCCAGAAATCAGGCTTAATTGGAAATTAAATTGCATTTCCATGCCAGCTGCAGGGTGCTTATATCCACAGCTAATTTATCAAGGTGATGCCTCATCCATGGGAATAGCGTGGTTCCATCAGCAAGGTTACAAGCTTGTGTCTGATGAGATGAACTTTCTTTAAAGCGCAACTTGAACCCTTCAAGCTCCTCATTTTGAGGTTTTTGCACTTACTGGCTGCCTCCTCTGTGCCAGGCACTGTGCCAGGGCCTGGAGATGTGGATGCTGGCGGGAAACGGCACTGCATTCTCCCTGCTCTGTGCCAGTGGCAGAAACAGAATCCCATAAGCAAAAGATTCCCAAACAACAGCACTTTACTTAGTTATCCAGGGTTGAGTTGTTTAGGAAGGTAGAGAGCTTTATGGATAACTTCATGGTTAAGAATCTGATCTCTATATTGAACACTGACACTAGTCGTTCACAACGAACAAGGGTGGCCAGACTCTTCACCAAGCCCTTTATACTCATGTATTCCATTCTCCAGGCAATGGTGGGAAATAAGTACATGATGGTTTTCATTATCCCCATTTCACTGATGAAGAAATTGAGACCTAGGAAGTACGTAACTTGCCTGAGGTCATTGTCACCCAACTAATAGGTGGTAGAGCTGGGATTTAAACTAAGGTCATTTCATAGCAGAGCCAATGCCTTTAAATGCCAGATTATACTGCTCCTTTATTTCCCCCAACTTTAATTCTAAAAATGTCCAACTATAGAAGAGTTGCAAAATTAGTATATAGGAGACGCATACCCTTCACCTTGGTTCACAAATTACTATCAATATTTTGCCATATTTGTACTCCTTCTGTGTGTGTGTGTGTGTGCATTTGGTTTTCTGAATCATCTGAGGCTAGGTTCAGGGACATAAAACACAAGTCTGGTTTGGAAACCACATGGGGACGAGTTTGGCTGGAGAATGTGTTTGTAGTTGGGGAGACACGAGCTGGAAGCAGGCTGAGACCATGAGATGCCGGCTGTGACAGCCAGGTCTGGAAGTTTCGGGTGTGCTCTAACATGGTGAGGACAGGCAGTGATACAGTGCAGTGAAAGCATAAATTTTTTTGAAGGTATTGGGAAGAATTAAAAAATTAAAGATGTGTATTCAGGGAATGGTATTTTTATGGTCTGATTAAATATACATGCTTATTGAAGGCAAGGCGGACAATACACTTCTTCTATCAAGAAGAACTTTAAAAAATAACCATTGATCTTAACTAAAACCCAGGATATTTCAGTTTATTTCTTTTCTGTTTTACTTTTTCTGCCCACCTATCTATTCACAGATTGGAACCTCATTGTACTTACAGTTTTGTATCCTGATTTTTCACCTAATATTATGTCAATAGCATTTCTGCTTGCTATTAAGTAGTCCTCAAAATAATTTTTCAAAGGTTTAGTATTATTGCATCAGATGGATGAACCAAAATTCAGCTAACCCACTATTTTTTGACTGAAGTTGAGATTGTCTTCAATTTTTCACTATTATAATGTAGTACCATGATGAACCCTGCTGAATAAAAGTCTTGGTGTACATCTCTCATGATCTGCTTAGAACAGACTTCTAGAAGTAGGGCTCTCTGGTCAAAGGGTTGCGTGGATTATCTCTTTGTTCGGCCCTGGTGTGGAGGAGACAGGAGGGGAGAAGTGGAAAGAAATGCAGTCTGCTGCATCATCAGTGAGACATGATGAGAGTTTGGACTTTGGGGACAGCGCTGAGAATGGAAAGAGTGACAGACAAGAGAAACACCAGGGAGAAATAATCAATAGAACTCAGCGAGCAAAGATAACACAAGGTGCAAACTGGGGACACATACAGAGAAAGAGTGAAGTCAGGAGAGAGAGGTCTGCTTTGCTTTTACGACGGTTGAGTAGAGGGCACAGGAAGACATTCAAACCGAAGGACTTATGATCTATCCTCCCTCCCTCCCTTTCTTCCTTTCTCCATTCATCCCTCCATTGAGTCCGGATCATCGACACCTTGCTAAGGGGGTAAGTGTGGTTGGAAAGATGGACTTGGGAAGGCAGAATACAGAACCGGGGCCTTTAATGGGCACGCAGTGCAGAGGCTTTCAGGAAAGGAAAGTGGATTCAGAGGCCCAGGTTCAAGGGCCAGCTTTGCCACCCACCAGGTGGTCTCCCCCTGGGCTTCTCGTCTGCCTGGTGGACCTCTCAGCTTCCCCTGAGGACTTACTATGTGCTGGGCCCTGTGCCAGGTGCTAGGGAAGCAGCAACGGCCAGGACAGTCCCTGCCCTTGTGAAGCTGGACTCTCAGGGCACAAGCCAGACCAGAAACAAATGAGTAAATGTGTGATGTAATTGCAGGAGGGCTATGTGGGAAAATGAGGCAGCATTAGGTGGGAGGAAATGCCACTGTGCACAGCGGGGGCGACTGTAGACAGGAGGGGATCTGAATGAAGTGCGGGAGAGAGCCAGAGGAGAGCTAGCAGAGGGTGTCCAGACGGAGAGACAGTAACCGTCAGGACCCAGAGGCTGGAGGAGCTGGGGTTCCAGCAAAAACAACATGGCCTGGTGGCTGGGGTGCACTCCTGGAGGAGAATGCCGCCAGAGCAGGAGGCCAGAAATGCAGGGACAGATCACGCAAAGGCTGCAGACCAGAGACGAAAGTCTGCATTTGACTCTGAATGTGGCACAAAACTACTGGAGACAGAGTTGTGAGCAAGGGGATTATGTCTTTTAAAAATATGGGAGTGGATGAATAGCAACGGTTGAATGGATTTAAAAAAAATGATGGTATATCCCTACTCTGGAGCATTATTCAGCCTTAGAAAGGAATGAAATTCTGACACATGCTACAACATGGATAAACCTTGAAAACATTATGCTAAGCGAAATAAGTCAGACACAAAAGAGCAAATACGGTGTGGATCCTACTTGTATGAGGTACCTAGAATAGTCCAGTTCATAGAGACAGAAAGTAGAATGGTGCACAGGGGCTGGGGGGGGGGGTGAGGGTGGAGGGAATGGGGGATTATTGTTTAATGGGGACAGAATTTCAGTTTGGGAAGAAGAAAAGCTCTGTAGGTGGATGGTGGTGATGAGGGTGGCACAACAATGTGAAATGTAATCAATGCCACTGAATTGTACACCTCAAAATGGTTAAAATGGTAAATTTTATGCTATGTATATTTATGACAATAGAAAGATATGCGAAAGGATGCTATGCAAAGAATTGTCTCGGGTGCATTACTTCCCTAGGGCTGCCTTAACAAAATACACAGACTGGGCAACTTAAACAACAGAAATTTATTTTTTTCGTGGCTCTGGAGGCTGGAAGTCCAAGATCAAGGTGCTGGCTTCTGGTGAGGCCTCTCTGCTCTGCTTGTAGATGGCCACTCTGTCCTTCTTGCTGTGTCCTCACATGGCCTTTTCTCTACGTGTGTGTCTCTCCCTCTTCTTATAAGGACATCGGTCCTATTGGATCAGGCCTCCACCCTTATGACCTCATTGAACCTTAATTTCCTTTTAAAAATCTTACCTCCAAATACAGTTACATCGAAGTTAGCACTTCAACTTATGAATCTGGGGGGGGGGACACAATTCAGTCCATCCCAGGGGTGATGCTGCTGAGGGATTTGACACAGAGTGTTTCTTTGGTACTGTATGGGATCTTCAGAGTCACAGCTCTGGCTTTGTGACCTCGGGCAAGTTATTCAACCTCTCCCAGCTCCAGGATGGGAATAACAAAAGTAGGTAGCTCACAAGGCCAGGGCTGGATGGACTGCAGTCCAATATGCCTGGTGGCTTAGGAGTATCCCAGGCTCCAAGGCACAGCGGGTTCCCAGCTGATGTTTACAGATAGCGAGCTGCAAGCCTGGGCTTGGCTCTGCTTGTCAAGCACAGATGGTTTGAAAAATGACGCCCAAACTGGCTCAGGGTTAATCAAAAGATTACAGAAAGAAAATTGGGGTAGGCTAACCCCAGCCTCTCAGACACAAGCCTCAGAATCACATCTCCCTCCCTGATTTCTGCCCGATTACCTGCCTCTGCTTCTAAACCAGCTCATGCCAGCAAAAAGTGAAAATTGGCTAGACTGGAATTACAATGGCAATGCTTGCTGGGTGGTATTTCATTTCTTTCCCCTCTGTGCAGTCTCAGCTGTCAGGCTAGTTCTCCCATATTTTTTTGTGGTTTGACTGGAGAAGGGGTGTATGTGGATGATGGTCTGGGGTGTAATCTGGGGGGCACAGGTCTCAGCAGAATCCTCCAACCTGTGCTGCTTCAGTCAGAATAGAGGCCTTGAAACCTTGATTTCTCAAATAAGAGCATGCATCGCCTCTTGGTCAAGCTGCGGAAGAACCAGTTTTGTCTTTATTACTTTCCTATGCTGGATCTGAGTTTTAGAAATGAAGGGAGCGTCATATAGGAAGTAGAGCTGGAACTTGGAGACAGACAGCCTGACTTCCAATTCTGGCTCTGTCCCAAGCTGGCTGTGTGACCCAGAGCCAGGCCCTTCCCGTCCTGAAGCTCAGAACTTTTTATCTATAAATTGGGTTAACGAGAGCTCTCCACCTTCTAGGGTTCTTGTGTGTATTAAATAAAATTGTGTGTGCGGTGCTTAGAGCAAGGTCGGGCACAGAGCAGGTGCCACGCGTAGTGTTGCAATGATCGCTATAAAATCTTAAAATTCCAAAACTGGAAGGGACGCTTGAAGCCAGAAGCTCCCTCATTTTAGGGATGAAGAAATGGAGGCCCAGAGAAGGGAAGGATCTGGAACTGAAGACCCAGCTCCCAGTCTGCTGCTCTTTGTAGTTCTAAGACCACAAGAAGGAACACAATGGCTTCAAGAAGAGAGGACCATGGTTTGCTTTAAGTTCATGGTCCTCCTGCCGTCATCCCAACAGGAGGAAGGCTTCCTTCCACCTCCAGACTCAGGAGTGCAGGGATTGGAATCACTGGCAGTGGTAAACCTTCTCCCTCATGTCTCTTCCTGGGGTCCTGGCTTCCATTGCATCCAGATGGCCTGGGGTGCCTGTACAAGTTTCTCATCTCTGCTTCTTCTGCACAACTCCCTACCCTCCTGTGGGGCCCTCAGAGCCTGGGTCCTCCCTCCTGCCCTTCCAGTTGGGGAGCAGATGGACACTGAGGGGGAAGCCGACCTCCCCTCTGCGCATCTGGCCAGCTGTAGTGGACGGGCAGCGAGGGCCATCCCACAGAGCACCGGAGAACTGGGGTGGAAGAATGGCCAGGCCCCTGGTCTTGCTTGCACTGATCCCTCATCTCATCAAGGTCACTGTGGCTGGTGGCTTCTGTCAAATTCCTGCATAGAAACTCAGAACAGGGAGATGGGGCGTGGAGGCCTCTGAATCCGCCTGACAAAGCCCAGGCCTCAAAAAGGGACTCCAGTCTCACAGCCTGATGTTGCTGGGCAGGAAAAGTGATTAGTCATCACTTATTCAACATGCATCTGGTGCTCAAGGCATCACCAATAAGCCCCATGCAGTGAGCACTCATGTTCTCACAGGGGCGAGGGGATGGCCAATAAAAACGAAAGCCACTCAATGAAAAGGATAATTTCAGCTGTTGACAAGTTCCCGATTACGGAAGATGTAATTGAGAGTGACTGGGCGTGGAGGGGGCAACGTTGGAGGAGCCGTACATCTAGAGAAGAGCCGGAAGAAGACTTGACTCATAGCCTTGTTTCTTTCGGCTCTGCCTCCTTTCTGTTGGCTATGGGTCCGAGGTTTAATTGCATGAAAAGAAGAGAAGGGTGGGAAGCTGACTTTTCCTGGCAGCAGTTATGTGCTGGGTGCTGGGTATGCCACGTGCACCATCTCCTCGTAGCCCCATGAGGAGGGAATTACTGGCCCCATTTCCCAGGGGAGGACACAGACTCAAGGTGGGACATGGCTTGTCCCTGGCTATCCTGCCAGAAAGTGGCAGGATTTGAACCCAGGACTGTCTGGCTCCAGAGCTGTGCCCTTGCTTGCCCTGCATCTTCCTGCCATCCATGGCTGCCTCACATGGCCACATCCGCTCTCATGAATTAACAGCTGTCTGGCACTTGGGACTTGTGGTCCGATGAGAGAGGTGGTCTGGGGAAGATTCTGTGGCCTGGAAGATTCTGGAATCCTAAGAAGAATGGGGAAGGTGAGGGTCACACTGGCAGGGCCAGGGACCTCTGGGCCTCCAAAGGCTGATTAAGACCTGATTTGATCCACTCCACCCTGCGTCTTTGTACTGCAGCCCTCCCGCCTGCCAGCTACTTTTAATTTGGAACAAACCAGCCGGTCCCCCGTGGTCCTAGAGTTAATAGGATGTCTGTGCAGCAGGGCTGGGATAAGCAGCTGAACAAATTATTCCTGCCTGGTATTGGTGTCATTTGGAAGAAAGGACCAGTGGCCCCAGAGAGGGACAGCCTTGGCAGGTGGCGGAGGTCGCACCTTCCTCTCTCTCCTCTGCTATGGGACTACAGGGACCCCAGAGAGCTCCTGGTCAGCAAAATGAATCAGGGGGTGATGGGTCTGCTACAGAGGGGCAAGGACAAGAGACCTGTAGGCTGGGATGAGGGCTACCGGACGTGGGAGAGCCAAAGCGAGCACACTGCCCACCCTGGCAGGTTCTGGCTTGGGACTGGAGAGGCAGGAATGGACCAGAATATTGGAACTTTCTGCCTATGACAAGGCACAAGCACTCAGAGGTTCCCAGTTGCAACCAGGGAGGGGGCTGAGCTAACATGAGCCCGGTGCTCGCCTGAGTGGCCAGGAGAGCAAGCCAGCTGGGACCCGGGTTGGTGGGGACTCTAACCTCCCCAGCGAAGGGAAGTGCACACAAGCTGAGCTTCTCAGGAGGCAGGAGGTGCCCTCCTTCTGGCAGAGGGCACTGTCACATCTCACAGGTTTCAAGATCCCCAGAGTCAAGGTCATTGCTTTTTTTAGACAATTCTAGTAATTCCAGACTGCCTGGTGCCCTGAAACTTGTGTATTTCTCCACTGGCAAGACAACTTCTCACACTTGCCCTGTAAGGATGCAGAGCAGTGAGGGAGGGTCCCACATGGGCGAGGAGCTTGAGACAGCAGGTGTCTGGGCCCCAGCGCACCTGTCCCAGAGGTGATAGTGCCGCCAGGAGAGCACGCATGGGTCTGTCTTGCTGACCTTGGCCTGTGGGGTGTTCCCTTTCCCCATCAAGCTTATTCCTTAACCCAGGTCATGCCACATAACGGAATTTGTCCCAACCCCTTGCAACATAGGTGGCTGCCCTGAAACACCCCAGCAGGTACAACCATTTCTGACAAACCCACCTGCAAAATTAGTGGGGAGCTGGTGGCACTCTGCCGGTGACAAGGTGGGGAGCAAAGCCCGCAGGGGCATCCTCTCCAGCCCCGTGGAGAGGCAAGCACCTGGTCTTGACCCCAGTAGAACTCAGGTTCTTCTCCAGCCCTGCCACTCATTGCCAGCTGGGCGACCTGGCTAAGCGAAAGGTCCGTTTCCTTAAAACAGTTAAAATGGAGATTGCAATGCCTGCTTCCAGGGTCAGGATGGGGCAAGGCAAGAGAGGTGCCTAGGGCATGCCGTTTAAGGAGCTCAGCTCCCTGCAAGTGCAGGGTCCCCTCTTGCTGCCAGCCTGTGACTTGTATTATCCTTGTTAAATTAGAAAACAGCCTTGCGTGGTTGATATTGCTATTATTGCCAATGATCAGGGAAGAACCTTGGTTTTGGGAGGTTGTGCAACTCACCCGAGCTCACACAGCTGGTGGACCACAGGGCTGGGACTCCAGCCCAGTCTGCCTGAGGGCAGAGCCCTCCCCACGTTCAAGGTCATTTTCTTGAGGCTCCTGAACAGCAGACGGGGGGAGGCAAGAGGAACGGCTTGTCTCCGATGGGTCTGAAGCTGAGGTCTTGCCTAGCACACAGAGAACCGACCTGGGCCGGGAGGGAGGGAGAGCTGGGGCTCCAGCGCAAGGTTCTTGAGACAAATCTTACACGGTCAGCACCGCCCCCCTGCCGACCCCCCCTTCCAACCCTGCAGCTACGCGGGTGGCCAGGACAACTAGAAGCTCTCCTGGATTGGATTTCTCCCTCCTGCTTTGCGTTGGCTTTGCCATCTGTGCCTGGGGTAATGGATGGGTCCCCAAAATGCAAAAGGAAATGGGCTTAAACCTCCCCAGCCAGAGTGCAGCCTGCACAACTTCTGGCTCCCGCCGCCAGCCCCGGGGTCTCTGCCAGGGCTGGGGAGCTAGCTGCCCAGGAAGAGGCACGTTCCTCAGAGCCCAGTGTAACTGGGCATCCAAGGCAGGAGCTGAGCTTCTGGTAAGTTCTTCTTTAGAGCAGGGGAGGGCCTGGCTCTGGGAGTCACACTCCTAACTCCTAATCAGGGAATCAGGTGTGGGAAGTGGCTTGTGTGTCAGTCTCTGCATTGGGTGGGGCCGTAGGAAAGCAAGTTCAGCAGAGGGGAAACAGCAAAAGTGCTAGAGACGAGAAGCTGCTCTCAGAGTCTGTGTCAGGGGCTCAAGGAACAAGCAGTGAGTGAGAAGTCTCTGCCTTAAGATGCTCACAGCCCCGAGAGTACCAGCTAATCACTGTAGCAGCCCCACGGAGCATTGCCTCAGGACTTATTATGCGGGTATCTTTTTTTTTTTTTAATTTTTATTGGAGTATAGTTGACTTACAATGTTGTGTGACTTTCCGCTGTACAACAAAGTGAATCAGTTGTACAAATACATATATCGACTCCTTTTTAGATGCCTTTCCCATATGGGCCATCACAGAGTATGGAGTAGAGTTCCCTGTGCTACACTGTAGGTCCTTATTAGCGCAGGAAGCTTTACATACACAATCTCATTAAGTCCCGTAAGGAGGCCATTTACGATTCCATTTTATAGATTAGGTACCTGAGGCCAGAGAGAGGTAAGGGACCTGGCGCGAGGCTCCCCAGCCAGTATGCAGAGAACCCAAGATGTCGTAGTCTGGCAACCAGTTGCCTTTGCCACTGCATAATTCGTTTGCAAACTTTTTTTAAGCTTTTTTTTTTTTTAACCTTTTTTAAACTCGTTTGTTAAATTTCAGAGAAGTCCAGTATGCGAAACAAATTAAAGTAGAGCTGAAGGGGCAGGAGTGAGGGTGCTAGGACACTCCCCCATCCCCAAAACACACACAACCTCCCCTCTTCTGACAATTTAAATGCCCTTCCCAAGACCCTAAGAAGCTCAGGCACGGTTCTGAATGATTTGTCTGGCTGGAGGCTCACCCTCTGACCATAGACTGAGCACCTCTGGGACAGGTGTGTGCACGGTGCTTCCTAGAAGCTCAGGCTACTACAAGCATCATCTCAGGGTGCCACGTAGCACTGCTTCATTCATTTAATGCTATTGGCGGAGCACTCACCCTGGGCTGGGCACTGGAGGCGTAGCTCCGGCTACAGTGGTGAGTAAAATGCGCGTGGGCCCCGCCCTCACAGAGCTTAAGTCAAGTGGGGAAGACGGCCTTAAGCAAACATGTTCCTAAAAGAGACACGGATCACATATTGTGATCAGAGCTATGAAGGAAAAGGTCAAAGTCAAGGGGGAGGACCTGATCTCTGAAAAGGACCTCCACGAGAAACCTGGGCCACTGACAGCTGAGACCAGTGGAACAGGGGATTGCTGGCATCAGGGGCAGGTGGCCAGGACAGGAGCAGGCAGGACGCAGAGGGGGTGGCCATGGGCCCTCTCTGTTCCCCAGTTATTCCCAAGGCAGGTTAAGAAACAATACATTGCCCCCAGGACCAGCAGGAAGTACCTGGTCCTATAGAATCTTTACATTCCTCAATCCTGAAAGGAGCAAAGAGAAACACTTCTTCTAAAGGTTGGATTATTGCAAATCTAGGACTCAGTGTGATGAATAATGAATAAGTGAAATCACAATGGAAACCAGAAATCGTTAGGCAAATGTCATGTGTCCATGTAGGGTGTAATCTAAATTCATCTAGGGCCGGTCTATACATTAGAAAGACTGTTCTCCACTCTCCTGCTCAAGGCTTGACTCTGCTCTCTTGGTCATTTATTTTAAAAATATTTACTGAACACCTGGGTTGGGCAGCACACTGGCTTCCCAGCCTGTGCCTGGCACAGGGCCAGGGCTGTGTAAACTCTCGGTGCTCTCTGTGGAGCCAGGAGGCAGGATCGTGCCCTGATGCCTGCCGTGGGTCAGTGGTGAAGCAGAAAACTTCAGTGGTGAAGCAGGTCAGAAGGAGTCCAGGAGGCCACTCGGTCCCCACTACCGGTCCCTGTGGAGCCCTTTCTGTGTCACACGGATCTTAGTCTCCGGGATTCTGAGCAGAGAGAGGGGGCCGTCCTGACCCACTGGCTGGTTTCTCTGCAAAGGCTGACGCTCCAATGCTGCTCCCTCTGGAGCACCAACCTCCTTCCACTGCCCAGCCCTGGCCCTTCTGCTCGGCTCAGTTTAGATGCCACTTTTGGAGGAGCTTCTTCACCTGCTCAGGCTATTTTTCTCTGTGCCCTTTGGCCCCCACCCACGCCTCCCTCCTTCTCAGCACTCAGAGTGATGTCCCCGTGGGGTCTGTGTCTTTGGTCTGTGCTCCCACAGGAATGCACGTTTCTTGACGGAGGGCTCGAGTCCTATTCATCCATATGTCCAGCGTCTAATGAGTGTGGCGCAGAGCAGGCGTTCAGCAAATAAATGTCAAGTGGATGGTTGTGGGCAAATATACAGGCGAAAATATCATCCTTCTCATTTATTCAAATAGTCATCCACCGTTTCTCTGAATCTCTCTTTCTCTCTCTTGCACACACACACACCCTTTTGCATACACTCTCTCTCCCTGACTGACCTCACCTACTTACACTCACCCACTCTTGAGGCATTATGTCCTTCTGTGATCTCTCTTCCCCTCTGATGCCGCCGGGAGCGTACAGACCTGCCTGCAGTCGGCTACATTAAAGAGGTTTTGATCCTGGGCAGGCAGAGGGGATGGCCTGGGTCACCCTCTCCAGATCCATGCCCATCTCAGTCCCTGACCTCTCCTTCATGAGGGGTCACTGCAACACACTCTGTAAAGGGATCCTGTGTCTCAGCTTCCCTGGATCCTTGAAACGGGGCTGGGAGGTAGATAGGTTAGCTTCATTTTACAGATGAGGAAACCGAGGCTCAGCGAGGCTGTGACTTGCACAGGCAGCGAAGCTGGAGTTGAGACCTAGGTTTCCTAAGTTCGGGCCAAAGCTCTTTCCATTGCATTTCTGGGAAGCAGAGATTGGGATAGGATGCTGCCCCTCACCCATCACCCCCTGAGATCCCGGGATCCTTGATGAGAGGATTGAATGGGGGAACCCTGCACAATCCCCTAAGCCCTCTGCTCTCTCCACCTCACCTCAGTCTGTCCCACTTGGAGCCCCTAATAATTCTGCCTGGCAGCCTGACCCTTAGCATTGGGCATTCAACCCACCTGAGCTTCCTGGAGGGGCAGCGCCCTATTTCAGAAGTACAATGGGGACAGAACAGGAGCTATGAAAGGGCCAGAGAAAGGAGATAAGCTAAATCTCACCATTCCTTCTCCCATACCCACCTTACAATTTCACCATGCTGGACCTGCCGGGCAGCCGGGGACCTGAACCAGGTCATCAGAGATGGCCATACACAGTCTTTATCTTCTCTCATTGTCATTTACAAAAATCCCCGATCAAGAGTATGTGGGCCTCCCTCCTTCCCCAAACACCCTGCCTGCCGCTTCCAGTGCATCTCCCCCAAAGACTCTTTCCTCCTGAACGAAGGGTATGAATATTTAAAGACACTTTTTCAGCCAGTGCAGCCACATCACGCCGCTGCTCCCTCTTTAAATTTTATCTCCAGAAAGTTTGCCAGAGTGTCTCTGAGTCCCTCACACTCCTTGGTACAGAGTGTAACATGGGGCCCCAGAGGCAGGGACGCCCCTGAGAAGTTAGCCTCCCCTCTGCATCCTGGGGCTGAATTGCACACATGCAGAAGTTAGCCTCCCTTCTGCATCCTGGGGCTGAATTGCACACATGCAGTCCTAGTTCCGGTCCACAACCATCCCTTCTGGGCTACCCAGGCAGTCAGACCTGAAAACTCCCTGCCACGCCTGCTCCTGGGGAATGCGCATAGGTAGGAGATGTAGAGAGACAGGGGTCCAAAAAAAACACAAAGAAACGATGAACAAAGACCCAGAAACGCAAGACCCTGGAACCCCGTGAGAGGAAGCTCTTCGCTCCTGACATCAGACCCAGAGCTGATATAGATCCTGTATTCACCAGTGCACGGTGGCTTCCAGCCCCGAGCCACCTCCTGCTGGCGCCCCCTCCAGCCTCTCTGTTCTGCAGAATTACTCACGGCCCACTGCATCAAATCTCTCTTTTATCACAAGGCACAACACTCCGTGGATAACTTCTTGAAACTCTAGTCATGCTAAGCTGCTTCTAGTGCTCTGGGAAGGGTTCTGTCCCTCTGACCCCCTGTAACCAATCAGCCACACACCGCCAAACCCATTTCCAAAGTTCCAGGCAATTACAGACGGCTGAACTCCCTGGCCTGGTGCCCGCCTGCTCGGAGCCAGGACCCAGGTTGTCAGCAACCCTGAAATCCAGCCCCCGATTTCTCCCCAGCTTCCTCTGAGACCCAGGCGCACGGGAATGGCCACACTTAACCGCACCAAGGCACTCTGACCAGCCAGAGCGCACCAATACAGAAAACGAGGATCAAGGCCAGGCTCCCTACCTTTGCTGAGGGTCCCAGTGATGAGCTTAAAGATGGTCTGGGAGAATTTCACGAACCCAAGCTTGCATCTTTTGGAGCAGCCGCTCATGGTGGCAGAGGGAAGGCAGGCTCTGTTGTCGGCACCCAGAAGGAAAGGCACCCGCCTTGCGTGCCCCTGGAACTCGGAGCCTGCCTGGGCGAACCCTGAGAGAAGGACGCACCCCAGAAGCTACGGGAACAGCACAGCTGCCTCTGCAGTGAGTCCAGCTTCTGCATCCAGAGAGCCTGCAGGGCACGATATCTGCTCCCTTCCTTCCTCCCTCCCTCCACCCCCTCCCGCCGTCCACCCAAGTCCTCGCCACAGGAGGATCTTAGGATGTCAGGGCTGGGGCAGCACTGCCAGGGCACAGGGCGCTCTGAGGGGACGGAGGAGGAGGGTGAAGCTGAGCAGCGCGGGGAGGGAGAAGCTGGAGCTTTCCCAGGCTTTGCTGACTGTCTTTCTTACATGGCAGTGGTAATGTAGCAATTAATACTCGAGTCAGAAGGGAGGGGACTGCTACGCAAAAACACTCCACTCCACAGCCTCCCGGTTCACTCTCCCGCTCTTTCCTTCCTGGTTAATCTAATAGATCAATTTTCTGTGCCGTGCCTTGATCGGGATCTGGGAGGACTTCCCTCCAGAGCAGGAGACCACTGCTTTGCGCTCAGTGGAAAGTTTGCAGGCAGCTTCTGAGCGGCCTGCTTTGCATCACGGAGAAGTTGGGCTGAGTGGGGAGCCCTGGGGGAGCTGGCTTGTGCAGCTCCCTGGCACCAGCAGCAGAGGCTGTCTGCCTCCGTTGATTTGGAAAGTCAATGACTCTGCTGCTTCCCGGCTCCAGGTGCCCCGCCCTCCACCCCAACACACACCGGTTCAACTCCAGCTCCCACCCCTACAGAGCAGCTAAGAGTCTGTGCTCTCTCCTCAGGATAGCAGAGGAGTGCAATCAGGGCTTTTCTTGTTGAAGAAAGTACTCCTCGGAGATGCCATAAAGGAATGACCGAAATTCAAACAATCTGACTACAATACAATACTCTTAGAAGTAAAACTGCATGGTAGTATGCAAATATGAACCCCAACTGTTGCTTAATAAAAAGTCTGGCTGCTGTTCAGTAGCATAGACCATGTGGGTTGCCTGGAACGTCAGGGGGACATCTCATCCCACCCTCTACACAGGGCCGTGAACCTCCCCCATGACATCCCCACTTTACTTTCCCTGGTGATTTTTAAAGGGTCCCCATGGGCCATCACCATGGGTACCACCCACCAATGCACCGTGGTTCCATTTGAACAGCAGATATGAAATCCACCTGGCATTGAACTAAGCCATGCCCTGGGAATGTCTTTCTCTTTCTCTCCATCGGCTTGTCTATTATCTGTTTCTCTGGGGTGTTTGAGAGCACTAGATTGCGTTAAGAGCCAGAGAAGGGAGACCACCTGTTGATAAAATGCCACATATGCCAGAACTCATGCTCCGTGTCTAGTTTCTTCCCCATCTTCTGCGAGTCATGTGGAAATGAATCTTGAAACGAACCTCAGCCCTCAGGTCACCAACAAATTTCAATTCCACGAACAGACCCCGGAGACAGCCCACTAGCACAGAGCCTTTCTCCAAGCCCTAAAGTGGCCTGCGCTCCCTGACTCACCGGCATGGTATGAGTCACAACACATACAACAGAAAGGAGCCCTGGAGGAAAATACCGCATTGCGTTTGATGTCTTAAGGTTTGAAACTGCCAGGTTATTCACTCTTTGTCGTAAGGTATTGAAGGTCCCAGTTAAAATGCATATGGTATCTGGGGATGTTAATGGCACTTGTTCTTTTGTACACTTGCTCATATATCCAGTACTTACTGAGCTCACACTCTGTAGAAAAGGGCTGAGCAGCCTGGGTGCAGGAAGCACTGAGGGCCCTGGATGTAGAAAATGCTGAGCCGGGCACACTAGATAGACATGGTTGGTGCCCTCCTGGACCTAACGGTGGAGTGGTCTTATCATCAGATGTGAAGCCCTTGTCAAGAATCGTTTATCCAATGAACTTTGCTCACTTTGCAGAATCTTAGTGGGATGGAGACGCAGGGCAGGTAGAGGTGGAGAGGAAAGAGGAAAGAACTGAGGTGTGAAACATCACCGGGTAGGCAAGCAGCTGGCCAAGGGCAGCACTACCTGGGCACCAGGGAGGAGGAGAAAGATTAGAGAAAGATTAAAAGAGCATGTGGTACCCACCTGACCGTTTTGCCAAGGAGAGTCCTGCCCTCTGAATGGAGAATTCACTTCGTAGGACATGGAACTCTCAGCTACACCCAGTTGCTTCTCTCTTCCATCCCACACAAGGGAAGGACACTGAAAATTGAGAAGCCGAAAACACAAAGGCTGTGACTTTAGTGACGTTAGCTGACCCTGAACTTGGTCTTTCGGCTGGAAACCTGGCCAGGAATATTGCTGGAGGAGGAACTTCCGGAAGGCTGTCAGCAGTGTCTATTTGGGGATGACGAGAGATGTCCGGAGGGGATTCGTATTTGGGCTCCAGCTCAGGAATCTGGAATCCCAACATTTGAACGCACAGGGGTAACGAAACAACGGCATCTACTGTTTGAAGGATCGGGCCAATCTTATAAACAAGTATCTCATAACTCCTCCAAGCAAGACAGATAATGGTTAAGACCATGGATCTTTGCACCTGGTATTTAATCACTCGTTCATTCTACACCTATATATGTTGAAAACACTGTTACCATGACCTCTGCTCCAGCCATTGAATATACAGTGATGGACAAAACAGAAAAAGTCCTGTGCTTGTCAGGTTCACGTTCACGTGGTGGAAGGACAGACGCGGTCAACCAATATGTGCATATATCGATTGTGCTTTGAAGAAAAAGAAAGCTAAGTGGATAGGAGTGACAGGAGCTCCTATTTTATAGGGTCGTCGAGGAAGTCTTCTCTCTATTAAAATGACACTGAAGCAGAGATTCCAAACCAGCCATACAGCTCCCTGAGGTAATAACTGTTAGGGCTGAGGAACAGCAAGTACAAAAGCCAACGACAGACCTGAGATCCTAAGGTCTGCAATTTAGCAATTGTTGGAGCAAGCCAAAGAGCCTCAGTTTTTTCATCTGTAAAATGGGAAGAACAATTCTTCCCTCCTAAAGTTTGGGAGAGATTTAAATGAAACCAGTGTGATTAATTTAGCTTCTGGTATAGTAAGCCACTTTGTCAGGGGCAAAGGTCATTACTGCTGCTCCTACTACTGCCACTGTTGTTGGTGATGCCACCACTCCTGCCCCATCCCCTAAAAGAATTCATGCTGTGTAGGTGAAGCTTCATGGTCACTGGAAATCGTGGAGGCAGGCTCCAAGTTTTAATCTCCCCTAGTAGTAACCCAAACACTAAGCATTTCAGATCCTCCTCTGAACACAGCAAGGCATCAAGTATCTGAACCCTCAATCTTAAATAGATGACTCAGGCCCAGAGAGGGTCGACAGCATCCAAAATATCACACAGCAAACCCCCCAGGAATGTGAGCAAGGTGTTTAGTGTGCCAAGAAAATTCCCAGCGAAGGAAGGCAGGTTGTATCTATATTACATTCATGATAGGAGAGTATAGGAGAGGACCCTTCTCTGCTCGAGAAACACGGTATTCTGAAAACCAAGAACAGAAGAGGCCACACGGTATTCAGGTGGCTCCAGGGAAATTAAACCGTCAGCAGGCTTATAATTAATCAGCCTCCTTGTACCAGTGTGTGTTAGCCAAAGGAACTTGGGAAGACAGTTATCTCTCCACCTGAAACTGTTTATGGGAATCTTCACAAACTAGTTCCAGGGGGAAGGAGGAGAGGCAGATGGGGGCTCCAGATGGCATCTGGGCCCAGGGAAGTGGACTGACCTCTCTGAGTGCAAGGCTAAGACAGGACAAACATGCTATTCTTTAGAGGGTGGAGAGGCTGTCCTCACAATGATAACGATGACAGCAGGATTCGTTGAATGCCTTCTACGTGCAGGTGACTGCTCTAAATACTCACTTTGCCCAGATCTAATCCTTATAACTCTGTGAGGCAGGTACTATTATGTTACCGACTCTACAGGTGAGGAAAGACTCAGAGAAAGAAAGTAATTTGTTGATGGTCACACAGCCATCTTGAGTCAAGACCATTTGACATTTGACTCGAAAATTCATGGAAACTTATTTAGTATCTCATCAGGGTTCAAAATTAAAGCCACTGGCAGTGTGAGAGAGATGCGTTTTGCCTCGCTATTAAAAGAAAAAAGCAGCTGTCCCTTAAAATCATAAACTCCCCATCCCTAAAACATTGTGGAGAGAGAATGGAGACATTCATCCTGGAGGGAATTCCCTCCACGGCCATAGCTGTGGGGATGGGAGGGAGGTGGAGAGTAGGCACAGATTCAGTCACAGAGCAGCCAGGAGACACAAGCCACACCAGCTATTTTAACAGAGAGAATTTCATATAAGGACGTGTTAAGCAGGTATTGGAGGACCGGAAAGGCAAAGGGGGACAGTGAGGCCTCACAGAGGTGGTAACTGCAGGAAGCAGCTGTGCCTGCTCTAGTGCTGGGGCTGGGGGTAGGGGTGACACCAAAAAGAGCTGGGATCCTCAGGACCTAGAAGCCTGGAGGAGGGACTCTGGGACAGTGAGACTCAGACCTTTGAGGAAGGGGTGCTGGCTGGCTGGTGCTAGCATCTCTGAGGCAGAGCTATGAGATTGATTCTGGGAGTTCAAAAAAGTATATATCAGAAACTGGAAGCTGCCGCCACTGCTAGGCTAAAGCACTGTGGCCGTGGGGACACGGGCAGGAGCAGGAAGCTGCCTGGAAGGGACAAGGCCCCCTCTCCAGCCTGCAGCCTCCCTCTCCGCCATGGCACAGCCTGTCTTGGCACTGCTGGCAAAGCAGAGAGGTGGCTGGCAGAGTCCCAGCCCAGCATCACGGATCAGGGCAGGGAAGGGAGCCCTTGAAGCTGAGGGTCAGTAGCTTAATAACCGGCACAGTCTAGGTGTCTTCCCTTCTAAAATTCTAGAATCTCACTATGTGCCAGGCACTGGGGATGCGCCAGCCAAAAAGACAAAATCCCTTCCCTTGAGGAAATTGCATTTTCCAGGTGGAGTGGGGGAGGGGTGCTCAGACCATAAACAAACACATTTATAAGGTAGAGAATTTCAGAGCATGAAAATACTCTGAAGCAAATAGTGACCAGTGTCTGTTTTTCTGATCAGAAGGACTGAGTCGTCTCAGAGCTCACTGAACAGCTCATAATAGAACAACCACCAAGAGGAAAAGGGCAGATTCCATGGGGGTCAGGATCATTATAATCACCATGACTTGTTACTCTGTGCTGGGGGTTGTATTTGGATTATCTGGGTCTTGTCACAAACTCATGAGGTTGGTATTATGATTTAATTTTACCCATTTTACAGATGGGGAAGTGGAGGCTCTCAGGCCAACTTGGTGATTCACTCCAGTGGAGGAAGTGGAGTCAATGGGACTGGTGACTGATCAGAGGAAAGTCTCAGGGACGGGAGGGAGTCAAAAGCCACCAGCGTTCCTAGAAACAGAAACAGGAAGGATACAAAGAGGATCAGGTCTGGGGAGTGAAATGGTTACAGATTCCATTTGTCTTAGGGAGAGAAAAGTCTAGCTCGTCGATGGAAATGAAAGTAAGGAACTCAGGAGAGAGGGTAGGAGCTAGAATTCTCATAAATAAATGATTTTTTGTTTCTGCTTAGGAGAAAATAAATGTGGCATCCCAGCAGGCCCAAAATATTAGCATTTAAATACAGGCTTACACAGGTGGGTAAAAAAGGCAATTTCCTCAGAATTAAATCAGTTTTTGTTTTTTTTTTTCCTCTGAGTCTCAGAAAAATCCGTTCTGTGCAAGTGTGGTTCTCAGAGAGGGATTCACCTTGCTCTAGGCCTCCATGTTCCCAGTGGGGCTCCGTGTCCTTCTCCATTATCATTATGAGAAATGATGCCTAAGAGCTGATGGAGATTCATGAGTGCTGTTGGCTGGAGTTGCTCAGGCTCATTTGTGTTGAGGGCAGGGCACCTCGTGTTGGGGTCTTGACGCCCTTTGCCCTCAACTGTGTCAGCACGTCTGCAGGGCCTGGCTCGGAGCTGGAGGAACCACGGTTTTGCTATGCAACTGGCGAGAAGGGGGACTGTGCAGCTGCAGAGGCTTCCAGGGAAAAGATGGGGAGAGACCAAGGGGGTCCTTGAAACCTCCCCTTCTCCGTCTGGTGGCCCCAGATGCCACCCCTTTGCTACCCATCGACACGTCCGGCCCAGTGCTGCCTTCTCCTGACCCCCACCCTTGCATACTATGCTCAGAACTGGACTCGGAACCCCTGTGTTATGTAAGCGTGGAAAGGGAAGAGCCAGCTTCGGTTGGATACCAAAGGCCACAGGTGTGGTCTGGCTGCCCCAGGCTGACCAACAGAGAGCCCTATAAGTCAGCCTCCTTGTATCTCACCACTGCGTCCCGGAGGCTCTCTGAAAGCAGGATACAGCTTCACAAAATGCACATTTTAGGGCTGGGGTCCCAATTCCTAGATACAAGTGATTCTGGATTCTTCTTTAATTCTTATGTTCTCACCAGAATATACCTGTCCTGTTTCTGGGTCTGCAGGACCCTGCTCTTTGCAGATAGCCCAGATGGCTTTTCCCATATTCTTTAGCTCAGCAAACCACATCATAGCCTCCCAGGATACCCAGGTCACAAAACTGGGGGTCATTCTTGATTTCTCCCTCATCCTCTTTCCCCTCGGTATTAGTTTGCTGTGGCTGCTATAACCAATTACCTCCTACTGGGTGGCTTAAAACAACAGAAATTTAGTCACTCACTAAAGTTTAGTTCTGGAGCCCAGAAGTTTGATATCAAGGTGTTGGTAGGGTTGGTTCCTTCTGGAGGCTCAGGGGGGAATCCGCTCCCTGCCTCTCTCCTAGCTTCCAGTGATTGCCGACAATCCTGGGCATTCCTTGGCTTGTAGATACATCCCTCTCAACCTTGCTTTGATCTTCACGTGGACTTCTTCCTGTGTCTCTGCTTTTTCTTCTTATAAGGACAATAGTCATTGGACAATGGTCCCAATCCAGCATGACCTCAACTTAATTTAACTAATTGCAACTGCAAAGACCCTATTTCCAAATAAGGTCACATTCTGAGGTTCCTGGTGGACATCCATTCTGGGGGAGAACTACCCAAGTTTCCCATCTTTCCATGCCATCATTAGTTCCATCCAAGCTATCCCCCTTTCTTGTCACTTCTGCTTCCTTAGTACCTCTCTGATTGGCCCATTTCTCACAGTGAATCTGCTTAGTCAGTGCCTCATTTACATTCCATCAATGACTTCCCATTGCCTTCAAAATCACACCCACGCTGCTTGGCAGTGCTTTCAAGGCCCTTGTGATCCCACCACTGTTTATCTCTCCAACTTCATCTCACCTAGGATACACAATTGTATTCATTCGCATATAAATGTGGACCCCTTTGTGTGTCTGTTGGTTTAATGACAGCCTCTCTCCCTGCATGTAAGCTGCCCGGAGAACAGGGAGAATGTGTCTCTTTTGTTCACATTTCTATCCCAGGCCTGACACGTACTCCATGCTCCCTCAGATCCCAGCACAGTGTTGGGCACGGAGAACGTCTTGAGAACTTTGATGCCTGGACAAAGTATTCTGACCCTGGAGTGATGCTGAGACAAGGAGGAAGGTAGACTAAGGGAGCTGAGCCACTCGGCCAGGGACACAGGGGAAGGTACTCCACCCTCATCTCCCACTTCGGTGGCCCTGACCCTGAGCCACCTGGCCAGAGGAGACCACAGCCCTGGGGCCCATGGGGACATGGCTGCTGTGGCTGAGACTGTGGTGGGGGGCAGGGGCTGATCTCTATCACCTCCAGTTCACAGTCCTGACTTTCTCCTGCCCTGAACCCTCCAGCAGCCTCCCTGCAAGGCTCTGGGTTAAGGTCCCGGCAGCCTCTGCCTCGCTCACTCCCTTCCAGCCTCGCGGGCCCCTGGCTGTTCCTCACACAGGCCAAGCATGTTCTGGACTCAGAGCCTTTGCACTGCACTTCTTCAGCCTGGAACGCTATTCACACAAAGTTGTTCTCACCTTATTCAGGTTTTTGCTCACATGTCACCTCCGCAGAGAGGTCCCTCCAACAACTCTGTCGGGAAGGCGCCCCTCTGACCGCCGATTCCCTTACCCGGCGGGGGCAGGTGTGTGTGCGTGTATCTTTCTTCAGGGCACTTGGCCTTCCCTGACTCTGTTTTATATAGGCGTCTGCCTGATGTCTGTCCCCCCAGTCTGCAAGCTCCCAGACAGTGGGACCAGGTCTGTTTTCTGCTCCATCCCCAGTGCCAAGGGCAGCCCAAGGAGGAATGCCCACCTCCCCACTGTTCATGGAGACAAGGTGGGTTCCTCCAGCCACCAAGCTCTTTTGAATAAATCCACCAAAACAGGCTTGAAATTTTGCTCTGGTCGGGATCTTGCCTGGTTTAGAGCACCATGGATAACGTGGGCTTTGGAGCTCGTGAGACTTCAACTTAAGTTGCCACCGTAACCACTCATTAGGTGTGTGCCCATAAGCCAGGTATTCCAGCTTCCTGAGCCTCTATTTCCTTATCTTTAAAATGGGGATAAGACCTCCCAACTGTCAGAATTGATTCTGGTGTTAAACGGGCAGGGTGACCAACTGTCCTGGTTTCCCCAGGACCGAGGAGCTTCCGGGGAGGCAGCCACTTTCAGTTGCTGAAATCACAACAGTCCTGGGTCACTCTAGGGGCCCCTGCACAGATAGAGAGGCTGCCTCTCCCACAACAATGACAATGAGAGTGGAGAACCCGCGTTTTTAACCCAAATTCTACACTGCCTTCAGATTTTGGGTCACTTGCATTTTATATTTTACTACATATATTGTCACAAATGACCCAAATCCCTTGTGGCACCAAGGCGGGTGTCAGAGATAGTAAAGAGGTAATTCGTCATGGGTGGCCAGTCCGCTCTGCTTCTATGGTTGTCTCACTTTCTCTGTACCAGTCACAGTCCTGTTTCCCCAGATCCGGTCGTGGAGAATAGAGGGGCTGACCCTGACATTCACAGCCAGGCCAGACTGACTAGTCCCTTCTACCTTTAAGGCCACCCACCAAGAAAGCCGGAAGAATGGTCACATGACCAAGGCCAAACCACAGGCAGCTCCGGGTCTAAGTCAGAACAATCCTTCTAGAAATCCATCTAGAGGCAGTGATGGAGGGAACTTGGAGAGGAGGCACTTACCGGTTAAATAAAAGTCCCTTTAAATATTCATCCTCATATTGGTAATTACATCAGCCCGCAGTGGGGCCGGCAGAGTCCTGGGCGGCTAGTGGGCAGGAGGGAGACACTGGGGCATTGCGGTGCTGAGTAGGGGCTATTTCCCAAACTCTGGTGTAATGCTCAGTGCGGATCCGAGAAAGCCCGCCCTTGTCACTGTGCCCAGAGCCTCAAATAGCGAAACCAACTCAACTCTTAGAGGAATTCAAGCTCAGTGCCAAGCTGGCATGTTCCCAGAAGGGCAGGAGGCAATGGCATACCAAAGGGGATGTGAAAGCTTTTGGGGTGGTTTGTGTTGTTTTTCTCCATCTAGTCCGTAAGCTTGCTCATGCTGGGGAGGGAGATGCTCACCCCTTTAATATACACTCCCCCCGCCCCAGGTTATCTTTCCACTGCAGAATGTCAATACCTTTTACCTTGGCATCGCCCTCGAATTCCAGTGAGCCAAGGAGAGGCGGACGAACCTTGTCATTTGTCTAAGCCTCGTTTCCTTGTCTGTGACGTGGTTGTAACATAGCTTCCAGGTTGGGTATATCGAGGTGAGGGGTAAATAAAATCATACCTGAGAAGTTCATTTCTAAGTTGAGAATTGATACGAGTGTTAAATGGTATACTGGTTAGGAGGCAGGGCCACGTGATGGTTAAAAGCCCAGTTCCTACACCTCCGAGCTATGTCACCTCTAGACCAACGAAACCTCTTAAGCCTCGGTTCTTCCATTCCTCACTCTGTAAAATGAGGGTAGTTACATGATATGATTACCGTACTCAATGAAAAATGTGTGTAAGGACGTGGCACATAATAAGCGCTCAAATAAGGGCAGCTATTATCATTTTCAGTTGTTGCTGTTGTTATTGTTATGATGTTGACCACTATACAGATGAAGAGACCCGCGGCTGCCTCTCCAGGGTGTGCTGATCCCACATGGAATGATCTGGAGTCTGCAATGACTGTGCGTCTCCCCTCCTTACTCACAAGCTTCAGTCACATCTCCTGTCTCTGTCTCTGGCCACGAGTCTGAGAGCTGGGTGTCCTTGGGCTTCAGAGGTTCCAGAGCAGTAGGACAAAGGACCAGACACAATGGGGCTGGAGGCGTTTCCAGGGCCCTTTTGCTTCTGTGGCTTCAGCTTCGGTTGGAAAGAGTATGGGTCCTGCCTTCCTTAATATGTTAGTGAACTAGGTCAGCTCAGGACAAACCTTTATTAAGACTCTGCCGTGTAGAGGAGAAAATGCTTGAGTTTGATTCTCTGACTTGAGGGGCTAAGACTCCCTCCAAAATAACTATGGGGCAGAACTCTGTGTAGCCTCGGAGCTCCTGTCTGCGACGTCCTCGCTCTCTGACCCTGCAGTAGCATCCCATCAGCCCTCATTCTTTCCTGTCTCTTACCCACATGAATGGGGGAGTCCAGAGATAAAGTGCAGTGGAGAGAAAGAAGTTATTATCCCCTCAACTGACACCTAAGCCCCTCTCGGGGAAGGGATTGCCTTTGTAGATAGAGGTGTGGGTCCTTGAAGAAAGAAAGACCTAAACTTCTCTGTGGTAGGAATTTGGGATGGGAGAGAGCTGAAGAGGGCTTAGGGAAGTGGAGATGGAGGCTGGCCTCCAGGTATTGGGAATAACCAAGGGATGTTTAGGGAGATGTGGAAACTCACCTTTAAGTTGTCTGTGTGGCCGCGAGGTAAGCTCCGTCTGTCTCCCCAGACTTCCCGTGACGTTGGCTGCATACAAAGGATTTGTCAGATTTTTAAAGTGAAAATTAGGAGAAGGGATTGAATTACAAACTCAGATGGATTTGATGTGGAATAGAATCAGGGTACCTATGAAACCAAGCAGTTCCCTAAGCTGGCCTGATTCAGTGTTGGCAGGTGCTCAGAAGTCCAGGTGACTGGGAATACCCTGCCCTCCGTACCCCTCTCCCCACATCTACATAATAGCAGAGAGACTGAGAGCAGAAGGGGCCCACTACATGGTCGCGGTGGGGGGACATCCAAGAAAAGCCATTGGAATCCTAAAGGATAAGGCATCTCAGCCGATTTCCCGGTTTCAAACATAATAGAAATACTAACAGTGGCTTGTGCATTATACTTTCCAAAGTGCTTTCCCATATTTTGTCCCTTTTAACCTCAGCCTTTTGTTTCAGTTTTCAGACAAGGAGACTGCAGCCCTGAGAGGTCACGAGACTCATTCGAAGTGACACTGCCCACGGTCTGTTCTCCACTGCTGTTGGGACCTCTGCTGACTCAGCAGAGCCCAGGCATCTGGTTGCAAGAGTTTGCTAATCGTTAGGATGTTAAGTGACTCCAAAAATACTATGGGGTGGCTTCCAGGAGGAAAAGCTGAGCACGGAAACGGGGCTTAGGGCCAATCTCTGTCATGGCCCACCCCCAGTCGGTAGGGAGCAGCGGGGTGAGCAGGAAGGGGCCAGGGGCAAGCCCAGCCCAACGGGCCCAGCAGGGAAAGCAGTGCTTGTTTGGTGTGGCAAAGAGTGTGGTGTGGAGGCTGAGGGAGCTACATGGGGCCAGAACCCAGGGATCTGTGTGTGCACAGCTGGGGGAAGTTTAGGTGCAGAGGCTGAGGGAGCTACATGGGGCCAGAACCCAGGGATCTGTGTGTGCACAGCTGGGGGAAGTTTAGGTGCAGAGGCAAGGACCTCAGAAGAGCGAGCTTTCCTGACAGCTCTGCCGGGGAGTTGTTGCCGTTCTTGGCAGCCACAGGAGGGGCTATTTTTGACCAGGACTCTCTCAACCCCACCATCTTCTTGACAGGGAAGAAGTCCTACAGAGAGGCTGCTCTGCGCCTAGAACGCAGGTCCCCCACTGTCTCACTAGAGGGAGCCCAGGTTCCTACTCCCTGATCTGCAGCCCACCTGGCTAGGGGTGACCGCCCTTCTGATCCTGAGAAGATGTAGGTCAGGGGACTTGGCGGAGGAGCAGGTATCCTTCCTAGTGATGGGGAGATCTCAACGCACTTTGGACAACGTTTTCAGGAATCACAAGCAGCAAAGGCTAGATCTGACTGTAAAATGAGTACTGTTTCTACTCACAGTTTTTGAGACCCTCCAACCCTCACTCTGAACCTGGTGGTCTGTATTCTACCCTCAACCTGCTTCCCCACCCCAGGATCAGAGCTCTTCTCAGCAAGTCCCACTCTGTTCCAAGTACAGAGTCCCAGGACCCAGACGCAGCGACAGGAGATGGGAGAGGCTTGGCCGTGTGCTTGACAATGATCATAAGACCCATCGCCTATGAAGAAGGCAGTACGCGTGGTGGGCAGACATCTGGGCTCTGGAGTCAGACAATTTAGAGTCAGTCTCCAAATCTCCCTCAAACAGACGTGATTGCCAAGGGACCAGGAACCTTGTCTATCTTGTTTTCCACAAAATCCCCAATGCCTTGAATAGAGCCTGGCACGCACAGAGCAGTCAATATTTTATGAATAAACCAGTGGCTCCAACCTTACTGCTTCTTTAACCTGGCACCAGTCACTTCATCTCTTTGAGCCTCAGTTCCCTCCTCTGTAAAATGGGACAAAAACCTACTTACCAGGTGGTGAGGATTTGATGAGAAAATCCAGCTATGGCACTCAGCACTGTGCTTAGAGTGTAGTAAGCCTCCAGCAACAGCAGTCAATTCGCAGTTCGCAGGTGCCCGGCACTTTGTGAGGTACCGTGTGTTCATGCACGCATGTTTGTGTGTGCGCATGCATGGGCGTACACGTGCATTGGTGTGCATGTGTCCCATGTAATCGTAAGTTATCCTCCCAGGAAGATGGTTCTGTTATTGTCTTATTTTTACAGTTGAGGAAGGTGAAGTACAGAGAGGTGCTGCAACACGTCCAAAGTTGTCTTGCTGGTAAGTGGTGGTGGAACCAGATTTTGAAGCCCAGGCATCTTTGTTCTCACGCTCAGAAATTGCTTGCTTAGAGTCCTTCTGGATCTGACACTCTGCAAATGACAAGGTACTGGCTTGGGTCACTCTGTGCAGAGGACAAGGCAATCCTTCAGCCATCCTTTTCTGCGTCTGACACTTCCAAAGCTGGTGACCCCAGGCACCCAAGAGGTGATGAGCTGAGTTGCCCAAGGATGCAATGACGGATCGCCAGGTGTCAGACACTGGGCCCAGCCTTGCATCTTGCTGCCATGTGGAAACAGGATGGGCTCAAGGAGTTTACAGCCCACCGTGGGGGGCTTTCGGCCTTCAGCATCTGTGAGCATCTCCCAGGCCGCTAGCCACGTGCAGATGTCAGTGCCCACCCCCAGGTGGCAGAGGCTGATTCTGTAGGTCTGAGGTGAGACTTTGGGGCCTGAATCTCTGACAAGCACCCTGGATAATTCTATGCAAGTGTTCTTTCTGCTTTTGGAGATTAGGAAAGAAAAAGAAAGATCTGTCAAATAGGTATGTGCCCTACAGTTATCTGTTAACCAGGAAGGAAGGGGAGAGCAGCCTCTGTTTCAGCTTTGCAAGAAAGGGGGATGTCAAAGAGATGTCACTTTATGGGTAAGTTCCCCTCCACCCGCCAGCTCCCCCTCCCCCGTTGTCCCCCAAGCACCATCCCCATGGCTGCCCTCCAAAGAAACGCTGAGTCGGCTCCCAGGCAGCCACCCACCTGAGCTCGCTGTGTCGTGCTCCTACACCTCCCTTCGCTTCCACTGGAAAAAAGAAAATTGCCAAGTAATTGCTCTTTGACAGCCCCTGCTGGTCTCGGTCCTTTCCTTCTTGCTGAGATTATAATTAGGGAATCAGTAAATTTAAACAGAAAATCCATGAGCTGCACAGAGCCTTCATCTTTCAAACGCCATTTTACGTACCCTGCAAGTGGCACTCGTACCCGGTATGGACAGCGGTGGCAGGACGAGGCCCTGAGTCAGGTGGGGATGGGAAGCCCGGGAGCACAGCCCCTCGGCTCTCAGCACAGGTGCAGGGGCAGCAGCGTGGATGAGCATTTGCTGTGCCCTGGAGGCTGGGCTAGGTGCTTTCTAAGCCTTGCTTTATTACATCTACCCTTGGAGGTAGCACTAGTTTTATTCCCATTATGTAGATGAGGAAACTAAGGCTCAGAGAGACAGTGACTTGCTCAAGGTCACACAGCTAGGAAGAGACTCTTAAGATGGACTTGAAGCCCCACATGTCTGATCTCTCAACCTATGTGTTTTATCCTGAAATTTGACTGCTCTCAATGGACTGGGGGCCTAAACCCCAGGTCAGAGTAAGTTTCAGGTTGTGTGGTCCTCCTTTTTCCCCTTCTAAAGTCTGGGTGCAGCCACAGCCCAGCCTATGCCCCGAGGGTCTATAGGTCTAACAGAGGCTCTTGGTGGGGCTGAGAGAGAGGAAGAGAATTCTGCCCGTCCTGTGAGCTGTGGCTTTTCTCTGTACTGATAACACTGCCTCCCTACCCTGGGTCCTCGAAATAACTTGTCTGGGCAGGAAGACCCTTTGCATCACCTCTACTTCTATTCCTCTGATGAGGAATCAGAGGCCTCAGAGAGAGAAAATGATTTTGCCCAGGGTGCCTCCGCCAGCTATTGGCTGATGGATTTGGGACGAGGTGCTTCCCGACGCCCTCCAAGGCTGGGCTGCTTCTCCAGGGTTCTGCAGCTCTGCAGGGCTGGACTCCAGCTGCAGGGAATGGGCCTGTCCAAACAGAAAGCCAAACCATTGGTAGGTGGAGAAGGAAAGGAAGCTCACGTATCTTGTTCGCCTATGATGTGTTGGCTGTGAAAGGGAAGGGTGTTGGAGCCACCCTGTCAGCGGGAACTTTTAGTTTTGCCTTTCTCAGTGTCACGTAAAAAGTGAGAATGTTGGGCTTCCCTGGTGGCGCAGGGGTTGAGAGTCCGCCTGCCGATGCAGGGGACACGGGTTCATGCCCCGGCCAGGGAGGATCCCACATGCCGCGGAACGGCTGGGCCCGTGAGCCATGGCCACTGAGTCTGCGCGTCTGGAGCCTGTGCTCCGCAAGGGGAGAGGCCACAGCAGTGAGAGGCCCGCGTACAGCAAAAAAAAAAAAAAAAAAAAGTGAGAATATTTGTGGTCCATACCTGGTGGAGGTGATGTGAGGACGACTTGGGTTCATGAATGTATGACACACACCTACAGTGTGGTGTTCAGTATGTGTTGGTTAAAAGCCAAGACCATTACTTGTTTCCTTGTTTAATAGTGTACTAAAATTATTAATAATTCTTATAATAACACTGTGGGATATTAATACCTCCATTTTCCAGATGGGAAAACCAAGGCTCGCAGAGATTAGGGAATTTGGTTCAAACACATAGCTAGTAAGTGGCAGGTCCTGAGTTCCAGCTGGGATATGTATGATCCTGGCCCTGCACTTCCTGCTTTAACACGTCATCTACAGCTTGGGGGGAGAGGTGTTAGTAGGACAGGGATATCTAACGGAATGGGGGACATGAGACACCCCAGACAGATCAACCCATGACCTGGCTCTACAGGACAAGCTTCAGTGCCTGGTCTACCGTACTTTTCAACCACCCTGCACCACAGAAAAATGCAGAAGGTACAAGTTGCCCTGCAGGCCAGGAACATAGGCTCGGGGACCTTGCCACTTAACTGGTCCTGGTTCTTATGGAACTTCCCCTGGTCGCCAGTCACCTGCTGCAGGGGCTCTTTCATTTAGTAGTAAATAAGGGGAAAAATCCCTTTTAAACTCTTTCCCCTCTCTTCAAATCTTATTTGTGATTTTTAATCATATTCAAGAACTGCCACACCTCTTTCTTTCTCTTTACCCTTTGGGCTTTTTGTCTCTCCCCTCTCTGGTCTCTCTTTGTCTCTCCGGCTCTCTCTGTGTCTTGCTCTGTCTCCCTCTTTCCCTCTGTGCTTCTGTCTCTGTCTCTTGGCTTGGGAACACGGAGAAAGTTAACCATGACTCCAAGGGGGAACCTTAGCCCCCCTCCTTTCCGACACCAGCCCCCCCCCCCCCCCCCACAAGCCCCTCTGTTCAGAGCTCAGTGGCCGCTTGGGCACAGCACTAGCTCAGCACCTTGGTGAGGGCATCACTTTCAAGTATCACTGTAATTTTCCCCCAGCCTCAGAAACTCCCAGCTAAGCCTCTCTCCTCATGTTGCTAAACGTAAATAAACAAGTCCCTAGATGGGAAGGGCAGGATTGTAAATTGGCTGTGTTTCTGCAAAGCAGAACTTCTTAACCAGAATGTGGCACGCTCTTCATCTTGCTGCCTGGAGGGGGCAGAGAGATGACAGAGGACAGAGGACCTTGAGAGTAGGAGGAAAAGAGAAACAACAAGCAGAAGTCAGGGGAGAAAGAGAAAGGGTGATTGAGGGGGAGGAGAAGATATGGAAAGGCCCATGGGAGTCACACCCACCTCTCTCATACCATAGGTGATGAGTTTAAAATGAGGTTTTCCATTTCACTGCCAGATAAACTGAGGTTGCTGGAAGCTCAATGTCGATACTAAGAGAGGGCAGAGTTTCCTCCACAATTAACAATGGTGCAGCAAGGGCAGAGAGAGAGAGGGAGTTTCTGAGCTCCCTAAACCCCAGGAACTAGAAAACCACATTCTGCATTGTTTTTCTTCCCACTGGCGGAACTGAACTGGCCTCCAAGTCCAAGCCCGCTGTTCTGCTGATCTAGCTCTGTCTGGCAAATGCATTTGGGGCTTCTGCAGTTTTGCTGAGAAACAGCACATTTCCTAGGAAGTAAACACCATCCTTGATTCTTGTTCTTTTCAGTTTTGGGGGCCAACCCTTGAACATCACCTGGACCCCGCTTTGCTAAAGAGGAAACGTCGTGCAGTGGTGTCATAAACTTAGCAGGAGACAGACGCCAGACAGGATTTAAATGGGGGCAAGGGTGTTGATTAAGGCCTCGGGAGAAGCCGCACGCTTTTTTTCCAGCCTCACCATGGAAGGGATGGAGGCGAACCCAGGGTGAAAGAGGCTTCAGCCCCCATGCACACACCCACACTCCTGGCACAATCGACAGCGCTGATGCTCGAAGCAGTAACATCAGCCTCTTCGTAGCACCTAGGCCAGCCGAAGGCCCGGAAGCAAGTCAGGCTTTCAGCCTTTCCACCCAAGGAAAAAAAGCCACATTTTTGCTAATGCTCACCTCCTCTGGCCTTGGACCTGGCGCTGGGGTGGGGAGAGAAGAGAGCAATGTTGCCCTGCCCTCTGCTGGGGTAGGCACTGCAAAACAGCACTTAATCCAGGGGCTGAGGAGCTTAACCTGTTTCCTGGGTTTCAGGTTATCTGAGTGGAAACCCTCTTTAGCTCCACACCTTGAGAGTGGAAGGATCTTTCTGAGACCGCAGTCTGGATGGCAGAGCAGAGGCCATCGTGGACTCTTGGCACTGAACTTGGAGAAGCCAGTGACCAGGACTCTGGACTCAGAATGGCCCGAAGTGTACCCACACCAGGACTCATGCTGTGAAACATTTTCTTTGCTGAAGAAGCCTTGCTAAGAATACGTTTTTCATGTTCCCCTTTCTTCTAAAAGTCAGCCACATAGGCGTTTACCTCATTTGGGTTCAGTGAAGTGTCTTCTGTTTACTGAATTTCTCTTCTTCCTGTGGTTTGGCTGGGCAGTGCCATCTTGCATCAACTTGCTGTCTGGGATTGGTACCCTCCCACCTGCCCACGCTGGGCTTCAGTGGCCAACAGAAGCCCTCTGTGTCCTGAGACAGGCACAGGCCCCTCTGGTCACCAAATGGCCCCATAGCAGCCTTCCAATGACCTGGGCTCAAAGGGCTTCAGGCAGGGCTGGCCCCTGGGGGCAGCGCCGGCAATCAGAGCTAAGGCTGCTTTCAAAGCCCACTGGCTTTGCTTGGTTTGTCTCTCTCCCCTCTGTCCCTTTCAAGGATGGTGGGCAGCCTGCAGGTGGATCACAAAGACAGGGATGCATCATTTCCACCTGAGAAAGGAAAAGAAACAGAAGATGCCTGGTATGAGTCTTCCTGAAGACTCATCTTGACCATCCCCAGGGAGCCGTCGGGACAACTCTTATGGATTCAGGGAGAGTCTTGTCCCCCCAAGGAGGGCCCTTCCTCTCCTGCCACCATGATGCGTTTTGGGGGAGGGCCACCACCCTGTTTCTTTGCTTAGTCTGAACTGATTTGAGGAAAAGGAGAACATTGTGTGAGCAATGGACCTGACCACCCTTCCTCATGGATCCACCAAGGTGGAGGGAGAGGGGAGAGGGACTTCTCCTTTATTCCCTCCGCAAAGGCAGCAGCTCCTGGAGGAAAGTTTGAAAGCCTCAGTAACCAGCTGCACATACGTGTGTGTACACACACACACGTACATACACGCTCCCCATCATCATGTGACCTTGGGCAGCCTCTGCTGAGGAACCCACAGTTCATATTAGCCCTCCTTTCCTACACCCTCTCCCTAGCATCCACACACCACGTGGCACCAACCCCTGCAGACATCAGTCCTTTACCAGGAACGAGGGCATCCTTGACCCTTGAGATGGCTGAGAAAAGAAACTGTGCTCTTCCCCAGCCACGGTACAGACATGGGAATTTCCTTCAAGGTCAGGACCACATCTCCTTCTCAGCAACCCCTTGTGGCCCCAAGAGCGAGAGGGAAGTCTTATGCCCCCGAAGAAAACGGAATTGCCTGTGACTCATACCCGGCCCTGCTGGTTGAGAAATCTACTTCCTGCGGTTGAGGGTAGGGGAGTGGTGTAGAACTGGGGCAAGGGGAGGGGTGTGCGTGTGTGTGTGTGTGTGTGTGTATGTACATGTTCCACATTGGCCCCCCTAGTGAAATGCGGCAACTTGCTAAGCTTTCCTGAGACCAGGGCTTTCAGAAAACCAGCTCCCAAAACACTGAACCCTAGATGATCCGGTGTGGCCCACAGTCTGTTTGGACATTGTTTTAAAGAGCAAGACAAAAAGAACTAAATGAGAAAGGAGAATAATTCGGCCACATGAATTGCTGCTCCCACAATAATCTGAATGATCTGCTCCCACGCGACGTGGGGAAAGGGGAGGGTATTGTACCAGCCAAGTTCAAGGAGGCCCTCAGAGGCTTGGTCTAATGCCAGCTCCCCCCGGCTTCCCAGCTCTTGTCCTCGATCTCTAAGCCTTGGAGTGATGCCCCCTTGCCTTCTGAAGACTCTGCCGCTTCTTTTGATTTGCAGCTCTGCCTCTGGAGGGATTGTCATGCTGGATCTTGAGGGAAGGGGAAGTGAAGCTGTTTCGATTTTTTTTTTTCCTTTTTTTTTTCTATTGTGGCAAAAGAGAAATATCAACTTGGATATAAACAAAATGGGGAACTGAGACTCACCACATGATTTTTGGTGTTTTCTCGGTTTGATAGAACAGGAGCAAAGAAGAAAGGTGCTTTCTGACAGTACAGTTTAACTTCTAGGCAACGGGGTCATTATTTGTTTAAAGAAAGGAAGAGCAAATAATGTTTGTCTAAACCTATTATTTTACTAAACGGTCTTATTTACTCTTTCCCCCAAACCCAATGATTTGTGTCCCCATGTCACGGTGGGGAAACTGAGCCTGAGAGGTGAAGAGGCCTGTCCAAGGTCATTCATGTAGAGATGGATGCTCAAGAAAGGATCCAAAATCTTTAAAAAAAATTTTTTATTGACGTATAGTCAATTTACAATGTTGTGTTAGTTTCAGGTATACAACAAAGTGATTCAGTTATACATACACACATATATATATATATATATATATAGATATATATATATATATATATATATATATACATATACAAACTTCCTGGGTTTTCCCAGTTCTTGCACTGTCCCTGGCCCTTCCCGCCACCCTAGTCTATGACCTCGCTCTTCACCCAGGAGTCCTGAG